GTATCTTTGCGAAAAATTGACCGATTTCGATGATTTTTTTTTCCCTTTTATAGACAATCAAGTAATGTTTTATATAATCGTAGGAATAACCAAGGGAAAAGTGTGTAATTTTTTAGTTATTCGCAAATAAAGTCTCTTTTCTTTCATAACTTGTTTGCCTGAATTTTCTGGATGATTGGACTATTTTGCCCGCCTGAAAGAGAAGGAAACCTTCGAAATTGGTGGCTCAATCTTGAGATTTGGTGAAGAATTAACGATGATATGCCTTGCCGATCAAAAACATCATCGATAAATAATATAAACTCCTCCTGTCTCGATCATAGAGACCTCAAGTCGACGAAATGAGACATGTATCTAATGCCAGTACTACAATTAACGTCAGGTTGTGTGGATGCGAATCCCATGCCTTGCGTTATCTCGAAAATAGTACGTTTTTGGGCTTAAAAACGCAGGGTCCGATAATTCTGGAGGAACTATCAGGGTCTTGCTGTACGCATCAAAATCTCCAAGGTCCAATTTGTCCCGCATCGATCTACAGACCTACCACCGCTCCTGTATTAAAGCCTAGCAAAATGTTTGTATCGACTTTATTTATTTTAGAAAGAAAAACAAAAGCGGAGAATACGATTCGCTAACCCACCGTGAAATTCTGAATCCAACGGTACCCCATTCATGGTATTTGAGCATGACAGGAGCTTATATTTGGTACAAAACCGATTTCGAGCCTTACTGTAATAATATATGTACGGATATATATATTTTTTAAACTTGTTTATTGAGAAATATAACAATCTGTCTCAGTTAAGGACACTTATAATCACTAACGGATCCAGGATTTAATTTTTTGGAGGGGAGGGCTTCATCCCGAAAGATTTTTTTAGGTAAATATTACGATAATTACTTCGGAAGCAAGAGAGAAACTAGGTACCTATATGAAATGGTGTTTAAATAATTCTTGTAATTCTATTAAATGTAATTAAACCAACAATAATACTTATACAGATAATTCTTTTCATAAAACATTATGGTTTCAGCCCGAAAGCTCTCCCTCCCCCCTCCCTCCGTAGATCCGCCTGTGCTTATAATTGAATTCAGTGAACAAATTCACACCATATTTACAGAAACATAAATAAATAAAGTAATGACAAAATAATAAATAGATATAACAACAAAATAGATATTAAGATTAGAGAGAAAAATATATAAATAAGTAAAAATAAACTGCACTTAAAGTAAAATAAACATCTTAGACACAAGCATACCAATATTTCCAATTAGCCAGGAAAACTCCGAACATCTTGTGGTGGGAAAAGTTATTTGTATATAAAATAAGAAAGGAAGAAAAAATAACCACCAATAATAAGAAATTTAGTTGTCTAAGTAAAAGGATATTGCAAACAAACAAATTTACAAAAATATAGACAGATGGTAATAATAAGTATAAAGAAATGTTTGAAAATGGACAAGGGACCAATATGTTTTAAGTGATATTAATAAAAAAAAGAGTTTTAAATAATCATAAAGAAATTTTTATTTGTTTATGTATTTTTGAATGAAAAATGGGTCCAAAGATTTGTTAATTATTATCAATTAACTGCATATAAATTAATATCTTTGTATCCCATTTTTACATAATATACAATATATATATATATATATTTATATATATATCAATTAACTGCATATAAATTAATATCTTTGTATCCCATTTTTACATAATATACAATATATATATATATATATATATATATATATATATATATATATATATGTATATATCTGTATTCATATATTTCAGTAGCTTAATATATGTGCTAGTGGACGGTGCTGAGACTGTCGGTGTGTCCCTGGCCTGATCGAAGCTCTATTTTTTAAAATTCTAGCTTTGAAGAGGATCCCATGGTTGACTAATAAAAAGAAAATACCAGGATCGAAACGTCAATAAACAGAAGAAATGAACATTCAATAGTTTATTAAATAATAATTAAATGACCTTATTTCCAATAAATAGTTAAGTTTAAATTTAATACTCAAAGGTCGATTAAGGAAAAGTTGTAAATATATATATATGTATGTGTGTATATATATATATATGTATTAAAAAATGAGTAACCAATTCAACAGGAACAAATATTTAACAAATTCAAACTTGAGTGTTTTATTAAATATTAGTTTTATTAAATATAGTTTTATTAAATTGGTTTCACGTTATGAAAAAAAAACTAAAAAAAAACATTGAATTATTGGACATTTACCATGCTTTGTTTAACAACAGATTTTTGAACAAAATTACAAAAGAAAAATTTTGAGACAGAATAGAAATTTGAGTTTTGCATTTTTTTAAGTAAGTGATATTATTTTAGTTGTTGTTGAACAGGAAGCGATAACTAAAGAAATACTTAATTTCAGTAATTAACCATTGCTTCACTGTAAACTAGACATGATTCCCTTCAAATTAAAATATAGTTTGTTATTGTTAAAACTATTTAAAGAGGAATTTTGAGAGATTAACTAAGCAAAGTTGTTCTGCTTTTAAAAAAATCATAAATTATTCGCGATTTTTTTTTTATCATCCTCCAACTATGCTATAGATACCCAACTTTTAGAAAAACTTTCTCGTTTAATAAGCTTAAATTCCATATTAATTAAGTTGAGGTTTATTACGGAAAAACTTCAGATTCGCCTTAACTTGAACCTATTAGCATATTTCCAAAAATCTTGACTTTGTCATATAACTTCTAAACTTGGTACCATTTGTAAAAGTAAAATTTATTTTTTTTATTTTATTTAAATTTTCCATACTATTGTAGCGCTATAAGTTCCATTTTCTTAATAAAGGTAAAATACAGAATTTTTTTTTTTATTATCTCGAAGTAAGACACGACTAAAATGTGCTTGCTAGTTGAAATCTCAAATTTTTTGGTAGAGACTGATCTGTTTACCATGGCTGATGTACATACCATTATCTCATAACAGTTCTCAATATATGACTTCACATTGACAAACATGTCGTACTGTTTATAATAATAAACTGATAGTAATACTAACACTCTTTTTCAGTATTGACCTATTGAGAGAACTGTTAGTGAATCATACATCTAAATCCCCTTCCAACCATCTTGGAATTTACCAAAAATGGTATTTTTTCACCATAGTGGAAACCCTGTCCATGATATCCAATCGTATACTGAAAGAACGTTGTGGTAACAAAGATGAGAAAAGGTTATAATTAAACAGCTATTCAGCAAAAAAAAAAAAGATAGATTAAAAAAATGTGATTAATATAATATATTTATGTATAAATATAGTATTTATTTTTTGGAATAATATTCATTCGGCCAACATTATTGCAGTACGTCGATAATCTAGACCTCATAGGAAGATTCTAGAAAGCAATCAGGGTGCAGCAAAAAAAAAAATTAAATATTGGCATACAAAAATGCAGGTAAAGAATACAATATTCCGTCAAAGTTTCGCTAATTCAGGCATCATAAGGAGAGGTGTCATGAAGTGGAAAACCACATCAATCCATGACAACCAATCTTATACTGGTAAAATATTGAGGTATCACAGCTGAGGAAAAGTTATAATGAAATGAAATGAAAATAGATTTTTGTTATAATTGGACTTTTGTCCCTTTAGGACAAATTATAGATACAGAGGAAATGCCTGTGTGGTCATAAAATTAAATTAAATATTTACAATGCTCATTAAAATAAAAGTATTGGAAGTTATGAAATTAAATTAACATAATTAAACAAAACCATTTCTGGGGGAACTTAAAAAGTTCTCTTATCTACTTTTCATGACCAATCGGGTTGGGAAAAAAGTAGGTGCTTAAAAAAGAGAGATTTAAATGAGGAAACTGATTGCGCATGTCGGATATCGGGAAGAATGGTACTCCAGACGGAGACGGATTGAATTATAAAGGATTTGTCAAACGCAGCAGTTCGGTGAGGAGGTGGATAGAGGTCAGAAGTACGGGGTCTAGAGGGACGGGATTGAGTGGAATCTTTAAATTGTAGGCTGTGCAAAATATAGGAAGGAAAGTCTGATGACTTGGTATAGAAAGGTAGCAAGGAAGTACAGACGGCGGTTGGATAGATAGAGCCACTGCAACTTGGTGTAATACTGGGTTATATGCGTATCTCTTGAGATTCCGAAAACAAAAAGTATTGCGCAGTCGATCAACAAAAAAAAAACATTTAATTACTGATCAAAACAAATATAAATGCAACTAAAAAATAATAATTAAAAACATTAATATTGATGTGAAGGGGTAAAAACTTGCCAAGAGACAGATAGTCAATGTTAGATTGTAATTGTAAAAGTCCAACAAACCAACATTGTGGCTTTAAAATGCAAATAAATAATACAATATTCTGTCAACGTTTCGCCCATTCAGACATCATCAGGAGAGAAAAGAAAGGAATCTTGGGTTTCCTCTTGGGTTCACATCACTCCATGACCAGCGTTTCTACTATATTTTTTTTTATCCCCCTTTTGATCCGTCAGATTTTCCCTTTTTTTCTTTAGAACGAATTTAAAAATTCCTTCCGCACAAATATATACAAAATAATACGTAATACAACATGTAAATACTCGTTTCATGTCTGTTTTATTTATATTATTTTTTAAAAAATATATTAAAATGTGCTCTGATTAGGCTTTGAGTGTGAAAAATTGTTTCCCTTTTTTCCCCTTCCAACCATCTTGGATTTTACCTAAAATGGTAATTTTTCACCATAGTGGAAACCCTGTCCATGATATCCAATCGTATACTGGAAGAACGTTGTGGTAACACAGCTGAGAAAAGGTTATAATCAAACAGCTATTCAGCAAAAAAAAAACAGCTGAAAAAACATGTGATTAATATAATATATTTATGTATAAATATAGTAGTTATTTTTTTGGAATAATATTCATTCGGCCAACGTTATTCGAGGTTGTCGATAATCTAGACCTCATAGGAAGATTCGAGAAAGCAATCAGGGTGCCTTTCATACAACTGGAGGTGGGAGCAGCCAGGAGGGGGTGGATGGGAAGTCAATATTGGCCAGCCAAAATATATGCATTTCCATTCGGATGAAGAGAGGACAGTTGTCATGCACCGACATAACTATAATTTCATTGTTAAAATCCTTGTATTGATTCATAAAAAAAGTAAGTATAGTGGATCATTATTACTATAAATAATTAATAACTATACTATTTTTATTACTAACCAATGACTGTCCAAGAAGCTCTCTCTTGAAGAATGGCATTCCTCTCCTCTCCAAATGATCCAGATGAGCCTGACATTTAGAATACGAGTACGGGTAGCAAAATGCGAACTGATAAACGTCTTCTTCTTTATCGAAGTTGAACGCCAGGCTTAGGATGTAATTGTTGCTGTGGTACGGAGAACTGTGGTAGAAGACATTGTTATCCGGCATTCTTTGCCTTGAAAAAAGAAAATAAGTGAAGAAGAAAGAAAAATGTGTGCGATATTACCTGAGAGAGACAAGAAAGTTGGTATGTCTTGTTGGTATGTAGAGATATATGAGCTGATTATATCGTATAGTGGTCATCTGATACATTTACATACGTAATACATTTACATTACATACATTGCATATGATATTTAAATCCCAAAAAGTTTTTTATTTGGTAGAAAATGAATTTTTTTTCCCGCCAAAATTACGCTTTCCAAAATAAAATTAATGATAAATCACCTTTCTGCTGGGATAAAATAAAATCTGGTCACGAATTGGTACTCTACGTTCAATTTCAAAACATAGAAATGATGTTTATTTAAAAAAAAATCTATCTTTAAATTTATAGCCAAATATTTTTTTTTTTTTTCAATTTTCGAAAACTTTTGCTTGGCTCAAACTTGCCATCAACATTCAGTATAAAGCTCCAATCTCGCTAGTGTTGCCCAAAATCGGTCTCAGTATTGTACTTAGTAAGACCAAGATGAAGGCGGCTAAATGTTGCAAGACTAGGGCTGGTAAAAAAAAATCGATTTTTTAAATAAAAATTAAGGCAAAATAGTTACTAATACTTGACAATCTTAGTTACTATATGTTAATAATTGGTATAACTAATATACTTTTGCATTTGATTCCTCTAATTTTTCATTCAGGCTTAGTTAAATTTCTTCAATCTAAAAAATTACAGTAATATCTCTGTAGTAATATGCTAATAAGTAACTGAAAGACTGATGCGAGAGTCTTGCGCAAGACCAAGACCATGACCAAGACTGGGTTTGCAATACCAAGACTCGTCTCGGGGCAACACTAAACGTCGCCAATAGTTGACCCACAAAAAAACTCATTACTTGTGGTTAAAGTTTAACCGCATGTAAATTTAATTTAGAAAAACATAGATTATTTTTTTTTTTCAATATAAAAAATATATTAGAAAAATAATATCATAAAATTTAAATAATAGTAATAAATCCTCAATAGGAGCGGTAAAGTGAATGACAAAACATTTAAATAAACATTTTTGAAATCAGGGTATTTTATACAAACAATATATATGAATAACAATAATTATTTTTCACTTTTTTAACATTTTTATTGATAAAACCATTCAAAGTAATAAGCATTGTAAAGCCGTGTATGAAATCGTAATTCAATAAAAAAAAGTATTATTATTTTTATGGCTGCATCTAAAGTATTTAAATTAATAATTAAAGTATTTAAATAAAAATGTTTAAAAAATGAACTGTACAACTTTACCATGTTGGCCTGCTTGTTGATTTCACAATTGGCGTCATCCCATGTAAGAAACAATTTCTCCTCTTGCTTAGGTTGACAATGTTGAAAATGACTCTCTAAAAGAACAATAAACGAAAAATTATAACTAAAATATCTTGCAGAAATTTAAGATGACATTATTGGATCAGAAGTTATGTATAAATTACATTTATAAATATTAATATTCACCAAATTATATCTTGTATATAAACAAACATACTACCAATTCCTTTATACTCTGAAATCGCACATAAAATATATACATAAATGTTTTTCATTGCCGCATTATAGTTATAGTAATCTATTAGTTAATGTCATAATGAAAAGAAAAATATTCTTTTACAAATATTGGGAAATTTCATATATTTCCTATGATATTTCTTCAGGTAATTTTCACAATATCAATATTAAATAATTTATTTTCTTTAAATCAGTTTTTTTTTTCTTTCTGGTTGCAATTGTTTTCTCGTAAAATTAATTTAATGTCCCTTCGTAATTGTATTTATCTATCTATTCTTATTTTATACCTCTTATGCCGGGATAATGCAATATTGTGATCCCGTTGCTCATCTTCTGTCATTAATATATTTTGTATGGTTTAGCTGTTTGGGTTTTAACATAAGTCATTTTTTTTTATTTAAGTACTTTTAATAATTTTTATTTTCTGGAGGTTTTGCTTTTTCTTTCTATACATGTAATTCTTTCTTCTTTTTTTTTCTTTTTGTTATTTTTTCCAGTAAAATTATAAGTAGAGTTGAGAAGATTTTATTTCATTTTTTAGTAATTTACATACTATTATTTAAGTTTATTTTATTATTATTATTAGTTTATTATTAGTATTATTATTTATTTTTATTATTATTAATCTATTATTAGTTTATTTTATTTCTGTATCTGACAACTTCTTCTTATTTTATATCTACTTATATTTAATTTTTATTCTCAACATGTTTTATATCTTTTGTAGCCCTGAAGACGACCTGCAAAGTGGGTCGAAACGTCGGCAAAATTAAAATAAAATAATTACTATATTTTAATTTAGTATTTATCTGACCGCACCCCCGACTAACTCCTTCTCATATTATTTAAGTTGTTGTATGTATTGTTTGAATCTTTATTAAGTTAGTTAGTTAGGCCAGATATGTATTTTTTTTCTTTTTTAACTGTTCATTATTGTTATTCTAAGAGGAAATCGTCCCAGAAAAGAAATAGAAATAGAAATAGAAAAATCTTTATTCTGGGACTAGGTCCCTTTAGAATAACAGTATTGTTCATATATATTAACTACAAATCTGGTCAAAAGACTTATTACAATGAATAATGACAAAATACATGTAATACATTAAGTATTAATTAAGCTCTTAGGATAAATTAACGAGGACAGTTGGGTAATAGGGGTTCAGTACTACAATATTGGAGCTAAAATAATTGCATAATAATCACTGAATGAAATTAGAAAGGAAAGTAAAATCTGTTTTATAGGTAAAGCATTGTAGTGATGGAATATAAAAATTTAAAAAAATAATAATAACTGTTAATATGTAGGGAAAGAAATTGTAAAAACTAAAACAAAAAAATATATAAAAAAACAAATAATGATATACATATGTTCCCTAAGATATTTAAGTGATTATGCGTAAAGATTAGGAGAAGAGAAAATAAAATAAAGTATATATATACACATAGCGAGAAGTATGTTGAAGATAATTAGAAATAAAATATATTTCACTGAAATACATTCCATGAATAACAAATTAGAACTTAAGAAAAACAAATTTTATCTACTCACAATGCTTAGTGAGTGGTGATGAAAATTCACGTTCAACACAGAATAAAACAATAAAAAATAAGAGAAAAAAATAATGTCTAAAGAAAATTAAATCCTTATAACATAGTATGTATTTAACCAGCGTCTGATTGCATTGTGAAGAGGAATTGGAATAAGAGGGTTTTATATAAAATAGAGTTTATTTTCTATTTTTTATTCTATTCTAAATTAAATAGATTCACTGATAAAATTAAAATAACTCTGATGAATCAATATAAATTAGCAGCACAGAATAACAAACATCATTTGTTGTATGAACAGCTCAGGAGTACACCCCCCCTCCCAGGTCAATGGCGCAAGAACCCCCAACCCCCTCCCCTCCTCCCAAAATATTCTATTGCTCACCTCTTCTTAAAAACAGAGCAAGCTAAGATAGAATTAGAAAAATCGTAGATCATATACAATTACACTTGCTGCGGTCTGTTCCATGTTTTCCCCTTGTGCCTTAGTCGGAAAACTCATATCCCCGTCGAAATATGCTCCCCTCAAAAATTCAAAAACCAGTCAAAATATGCCCCCTCAAAAATTTTGATGGCACAACTTGCGCCATGAAATCTTTTTCTGGGCATCCCTGAAACAGCTAAATATCCAACCAGACCTAATCGATGATAATAAATTATACTGCGATCAGTTGAATACTCAATGGTAAACTGTTATGCTTTAATAAATATACCTTTTGTAAGAAGGATAAGTTGTGCTCTCTGTATAACCTTACAGCAGAAGAGGATATTTATCAACTTATATCTGTATACCTCATTCTGGCTGAATTTAGAATACATTTTTTTAATAAAACAAAATTAGATGCAAAAAAGTTTAAATATTGGCATTGCGGCAGTGGCCCAGAGATCTTTTGTGGTAAATATCTTGGAATTCTGGCAATGGCCAGATTCTCCACTCAAGACATGAGTGTACGTGGTGGCTAAAGCGCTCTCGCTCAAACTCCACTGACTTTAGCACCAGTGACGCGGTTGAGAGAGTAGCGCAGGGAACTGTTGGAGTCCTGCTTTTCCTTCTATATTTAGAAGAAGAAGCCTGGCTTGAGGTCCCCTGCCTGATTGTATACATAATATTTAGTACTAGCGGATCCAGGATTTAATTTTGGGTGGAGGGCTTCAGCCCGAAAGATTTTTTTTTTTCGTATACATATAACGATAATTAATTTGAAAAAAAAATGAAAGAAATTAACTTGCTATATGAAATGGTGTTTAAATGGTTCTTGAAGTCCTATTATGTAATTACGCGAACAAGAATACTTTAAGAGATAGTTTATCACATTTTTTTCTGTAAAACATGGTTATATTTTATCATTTTGGAGGAGAGGGGCTTCAGCCCGAAAGCTCCCCCCCCCCGTAGATCCGCCTGTGATATATAGGTATTACTATGTTTTTAATTTACTTATCATTATGTTATTTTATTTTTTTATTGTACATAGGTTTTGATTATTATTTAGTTATTATTTTACTTTTAATTTTAATCTTATATTTTCTGTATATATGGTGTGAATGTGTTCATATATCATTATAAATATTGTCCACATGACAGATTATTATATTTCTAAATAAATTAAAAAAAAAAAAAATATTGGCATAAATTGTTCGATTATTGTAGAGTAGCCTGGCATTGCAGATATCAATTAATTAAAATCATTTAATTATTAACTACCATATTAAAAATGTATAGAATAACTATTCGAGCATTTTTGTTTTAATCACGGTGTTTTCAAATGTTAATAGCTACTTAATTTTTAAAATATGTTATTTTTTTTCTTTTCTAAGATTTGTGATTTTGTAGACTCCCCTTAGACGGTTATTAATAAATCCTAATATTTATAAATATAACAAAAATAGAAAAAAATCATTTTCAACAGCTTTAACGCCTGTTTTATATTTCTCTTCTCTCTCGTAAAAAAAAAGACAATCAACCGGAATTGAATTGCTGAGCCAATATTTCCTAACTTCAAA